TATAATATTAGTAGGGATGTTTATCAAACCACACTTGCAATCCAATCAGTTGGTGGGGATAAAAACTTCTTTAGGTAAAAATACTTAAAAGCCATACAAATGAATTTAGACTTAATTTTCCTTTAATGTAAAACTATGCATTATTTAATAGTAATACACCATTCGAAGATAAAATAACATGTTTTAATGTCGTGTATACATTTTTCTTAATAAATTTCTTGAATATTTATTAATAGATTTAATTGATCTATTTGTTGATTTAAATTGAACAAGACAAAGAATATTTAAAGATGAGGTCGAAGATTATTGATGCAAGTATAATTTCTCAATGAAAACCGTTTGTTTTGTGTCTTATTACAATTATCATCAGGAATAAAAGATCATTATTTAATTCAGATTATCTAATTGAGTTATTCATAAGATTGATATTTTTTACCGACTTTAAAAAGGAGGAGGTTCTCAATTTTTCGGTATTTTTTCTTGATCACGCAAACACTTATTGTAGGTATATTATTTTAACTACATACTCCCGATGTTTCGGTTACTTTGCAGCAACCGTGATAACGAGCAGGCTTTTGACAGTCTTATTGTCATCTCGTCTTACAATACGTAATGATATTTTATTCTCACAACCAGATTTTTAATGGCAGACCCTTGAATTGTTTTACTACTCCTCATTCACGCCTATCTCCTACATTTTAACCAAATTTTTTTCCTTATCTGCTTCATTGAATGATAATTCCTTAGAAAAAAACTGCTTAAACCACAATTTAAAAAACAATTTCTCTTTATAAAAATGAAATGAGATGTTGAAAGGTATTTAAAACTGTGTATTTTTTCAATTTTAGCTTGAGATGTTCAAAATGAGATAAAAATATCAACAAACTATTTTAGATAAACAGAATTTTTGTTTGGCTAGTATAGACACGATATATACGTATATCTTCTTCTTCCTGGCAATTTCCCAGCTTTGGCCAGGATCTGCCTTACATGTTGTAAATAGTTTTGGGTAATTGTTTTTACGACCGGCCGTCTGCCTGACCTCAACCCTCTTTGGGAAAGCATTAATCACCACGCTTGCTCAAGACGGGTTGGTGATTTCAAACTCATAATTGTAAAATTATAAGTCCAGGTTTCCTCACGATGTTTTCCTTCACCGTCTGTCAGTGATGTCTAAATACTCTTAGAAAGTAAATATGATTCGGTAAAATCACATTGGTACTTGCCAGGATCGAACCCGCGCCCTCATGCATGAGAGCCATTAACCACCAGGCCAACACTGACTTAATATACGTATATATATAATGATAAATGATTATTAAACTAGCAACCCTCAAGCCGCCTATATAAGGAGCGCCATTACTGACAATCTGACACTTTTTGTTCTCAATTATTGTCAAGTGAAGAAACTCTGCCCTAATTAGTCTCGAATATTAATAAATTGTCCATTGGCCGGGGAACGTTTGTTTTTAAAAATCATAACGTATTTTTAATTTCTAACAAAATATATATATATATATATATATATATATATATATATATATATATATATATATATATATATATATATATATATATATATATATATATAAAATGGATTGCTGTTCCTTAGTCTCGCTAAAACTCGAGAACAGCTGAACGGATTTATCTTATCTTAGTCTTGAACTGTTCGTGGAGGTTCAGAGAAGGTATAAAAGCTAAAAAAATTTATTCATTACTGGGAAAACCATAAAAACAGCCCTTTTCTATTTCCCATACAAACGTTTTTTTTGACATTAGATTTGACAACTAACTAATATGTCAATCATTCTGTCGCACTTCAAAACACTTTCTTGATAATAGGGCGATATGAAGTTCGCCAGGTCTTCTAGTATATATATATATATATATATATATATATATATATATATATATATATATATATATATATATATAGCGTCCCTTTTCACGGTTTCCGCTTTTTTCAATTGAGGCTAGATATTTATAGCAAAATAAATCATCCTTTGTATTATATTTCAGAGAATTTAGTAGTTATTTTTTATGGTACATAAATAAACAAATAAAAACTTATTTGACCTTGGTGTTTTTTTTTGTACAGTTGATACATTTTTTTTACATTAAAATTCTCTATATTTTTTCATCTGTAAGCCACAAAATTTGTAATTTTTTTCTAAGTAATCTCTCATTGGGAAATAACTTATGCTTTTAAAATTTAACATGAATGCATGAATGTTTTCTTTCTTCATATTAACATATAAATATATATTTCCTTTATATTTATTTATCTATAATTTTGTATCTATAGTCTGAGAAAACTAGATTTTTTATGCTTTTCACAATACATAAATTTTATTTAACTAATGAATATTTGAGGTGGCTGAAAAGATATTTCAAAAAAACATTATTTTAGCATAATTAATAATTATGTAGTGTTAATAATCAATTTTCATTCACTTATTAAAAACTATTGGACTGTCATTGCAGTAGAGATATATATAAAATAACAATAAATTTATACGACCGAAGTCGTTTGCAGGAGTTAGTCATAAATGAAGAACATATACGTTACCACAAGTTTTCGTGTACTCGTAACTATTAGTAACTCTACAAATTACTAAAATACTTTAGCTTGTCCAGAACTAATATCAATTCATTCTTGGAACGTACTTCGAAGGCAGCCCTAGTAGGTTCTTTTCAAATTTGGTTAGGTAGAAAGAGGAGCTTGGACGGTGGAAATGAGATTTTAACGCGCGTTAGATAGGGACCCCTTAAACGTACACCTAGGTCGCAAGTCCCAGTCACTGTTAAAGCTCCTCTCCCTGGAACGATGGACCTGACACCCGCACGGTGAATACATTGATCTCTAAGAGTTTTCGTCTCTGTTAGTGTCTATTATAAAGGGAAGGTAGATCTATTGAACATAACTCGGTGACGGCTGATCAAACATTTCCTACTAGAAATTGGTTTTCAAAGTCAAGGTCATGTTATTACAATAACTTTACAAGTTCGTTCGTCAAACGTTTAGTCGCCAGTTTACTTCGACACCGACCGCTGGCTTTACGTTTATCAGGTGAGATGATAAAATTATTTTTTTCTTTTAATATATTAAATCATTTATATATAATATTGTACGAAACTATAGACATATATTTTTTATATGATTTTTTTAATGTTTCATTAAAAGTACATATTTCAGTTTACGAATTTAATTAATGAAATTTTTTGATACATTTTTTTTATCAATTTAAAGGTATGCATTATAACTTCTTTTGTCATAAGGTACATAGTACATACATACATAATATAGTGTTGTATTTATATATTATTGTTTAGAAAAAATAAATTAGAAAAATCAAAAGAAAAAAATATATAAAAATGTTCAATAAAAGTGAAAAAGATAATTTCATATTTAATAGTTTAATATGATTGTGTATATAACTATATCTAGTTAGTAAATAATTTATATGTATATTACTATTCTTTTAATATGACATTCTTAGGAAAACAGGTCTCTTAAATAATTACTTTTCCACCAAAAATAATCTAAATAGAAATTAAAATAACCCTTTCAAATATATAAATATTATTTACACTTCGTTTAAATGCCTTTAACTTTATATGCTTTTAAATTATTTTTATAAAACACTGAATCATTCTGTTTTATTGTTAAGGAAACAGAAATAATTAAGAAATCTATTATGATTCTGGAATGACCGTAAAATTGATGGCGTCAATTTAATTCCTTAAATACAATATATTTTAGACTGTCAAGGTCATGGATAATAATGAAGGTTTATTTTATCTTCTACCTGGCAATTTCCCAGCTTTAGCCAGGGTCTGCCTTACATGTTGTGAATAGTTTTGGCTAATTGTTTTTACGACCGGCCGCCTGCCTGACATCAACCCTCTTTGGGAATGAAGGTTTATTTTATATGTCCTATATAAAATTACTTTTAAACTATTGTCATTACATATAAAATGAGGAACGTTTTAGAAGTATGTGTATGTAATTAAAATAAAATATTCTCTAAAACGAGTAAAGTCGCGAATCATAAATAGTGTCAAAAATTAACAAATATATCATTACAAGGGCATATTTTGAATTTTAGTTGGTGAATATGTGTTTTCTACTAAATTGTACGTATAGAAGTATATTTTTTTGTAATTACGACATTAACGTCTTAAATATATAAAAAGAAGTGGTTTATATATTAGACGTTAGTGAATGTCTGTCTGCGACATCGTAGCTCGCGACCGGATTGACAGATTTTGATGCAGTTTTTTTCATTTGAAAGCCAGTTCCTTGTGTTTTTTTAGCTATGTTTGATTAATATCGGTCTAGGAATTCAATCAGCTCTTTTAAGAATAGTTTAAGGCATTTTTTATTTATGATTACTCGAGTATATACCTCACGCGAGCTCTGTTAATCTTTTAATGACAGTAAATACGGCAAGTTAGTTAATTTACTAACATGTAAATATAATGATTTTATTGCTAACAATGTTTATTAATTAACAGTATGAATTAAATTGTTTTATCAAATGTATATAGGCTTACTTTTTTATACATAACCATACGTGTACAATTTATTAGGAACAAAAGTTGTTAAAATATTGTATCTATATAAAAAAGTGTTTTTTTTCTCAATTATCAGCTACATAGTTTATAATTTGACCTAGATGTCTATGCACAAATGATCCTGAAACAACTCCAAGACAATGCTTATTCTGATTTTTAATATTTATTGAAGGTTAAACTGTTATTAACATAAAGGTTCTATTTCCATGTCTTAGATCATAATCTGATATAAATAAAGCCTGCGGTGTTACTCGTACAATATCATATATTTATATTATTTATTTCCTGTCAAAAATAGTCAAGATGAATAGTCAAGTATTTTTCTTTTGTTGGGATATATAAAGTTAATAAATATTAAGAAAAATTAATACTTCTACCTGTACTTATAAACAGAAATTTTTAAAATTAAGTATATTTGAAATATGTACACTTACCTGCCTGCCTTGTAAGTGCGTTTTTATATTACACAAAAGTAGTTTTCATTTATAAATCTTGGTATAGTATCGACGTCGTTTTATTACCGGGAAACTGAAAATGAGACGTTATCATGTAAGGATGCTAGTAGTAAGATTAACGAGCTTTGAAAATATATGCCAAGATATCTTAAGACCTATCAGTGGTCTGTATCTCAAGAGACGAAACTTCTCATCATTCCATGTATTCACCGTGCGGGTGCCGGGTCCACCGTTACAGGGAGAGGAGCTTCAACAGTGTCTGGGACTTGCGACCCAGGTGTAGGTTTAAAAGTCCCCTATCTAACGCGTTAAACGCTCACCTCCACCGTATCAACTCCTCTCTCTACCAAGTAATATACCTCTATCAAGTAATTTTTAATCGAACTATTATGAGTCATACAATCCTTTTAATAGGAAGCCTTTGATACCTATTCTCCGTGCTTAGCCATTTGTCAGTCACTAATTGCTACAAAACAACACACGTAACACTTAATTAACTATTACTTATATTTTTTATTCAATGTTTGATTTAAATCAATGCAACAAGATTATTGAATAAATTAATTCATGACTTTGTTGAGATAAATTTAAACGATATGAAATGAATATTTTTTGCAAGTTGATTTGACAAAAACAATAATAGTTTTAATGTCGAAGTTTATTTAGAATGTTTGGCATGTGTTATTATAATAGAAACGTAATATCTTAAAATATGTCAAATAAATTAAACATTAGGTTTCTTGCAAAATAACTTCAAGCGATGTCTTTATATACTAATGAAAAGACGGTACTTAATATTTAAGAGAAACAAGTTTAGAAGAAAACAGTTTTTAAAATAATGAAATAGGCGTAGTAATCAGCAAAGTATTAGTTTAATTTAAATGAATACTCGCGAAAGTCTTAGATGTCATTAATCTTTATTTAATACTAGCTTTCCGCCCGTAGCTTCGCCCGCGTGGAGTTCTGTTATACCGCGTTTCCAAGAGAACCTTTCAAAAGTCTGGGATAAAAACTATTCTATGTTCTTTCTCAAGGTCCACTCTATCTCTGTACCAAATTTCATTAAAATCAGTTCAGTGGTTTAGGCGTGAAAGCTTAACAGACAGACAGAGTTACTTCCGCATTTATAATATTAGTAGGGATTGATATTTTATTTTACAAATCGACTCGTAAATTTTACTCGAATAGTTTTAATACACTTTATAACCATGCTTTAATAATTAATCAGAAATACGATATTCTAAGCAAGGTGGTGTGATCTATTGTTTGTTCAACAAATCTCTATAAAAACAGGATTATACATACATACGTCAGATCTAATAAAAAAATCTTGTAGTACGTTATTTAAATACCTTATGATTCCTTTTCTCAGCATCGTTTTATATCAGGTAAAGTGAGGAATCTTTTTAAAAACTATGTTATTGTTTTTTTTAATTTACATATAATCAAGCGAAATGTAAAGTCAGTGGTGACCTAGTGGTTAAACGCCCGCCTCTTTACGAGGGCGCGGGTTCGATCCTGGCAAGTACCAATGTGATTTTTCCTAGTCATGTGTACCTTTAGAAGTATTAAGACACCACTGACAGACGGTGAAGGGAAACATCGTGAGGAAATCTGGATTTATAAATTCACAATTATGTATTTGAAATCCGTCTTGAGCAAGCGTGGTGATTAATGCTCAAACCTTCTCCATGTGAGAAGAGGCCTTTGCTCAGCAGTGGGCTGTGATAGGCCGATGACGACGATGACAACCGAAATGTCAATAAAATGTATACATATGAAAAACATTGTTTAATTCTTAATATGTACTAAAATCTTATCTACCATCAAAAACTATTGTAATTTTCTAAAAAAACACAATTTTTTCCTTATGTGCTGGCTTTAGATAACGCAAAAAGCAGCGGTCTCTGTATTCCACTAACACTAGACTTATCTTGCGACTTTACTTGTTTTAATTGTAAACAATAAATGCTTAACATAATTATTATAGTAATAGAAAACGAGGATTTTTTCCACAAACATAAATGTCAATGAAAATGTTAATGTTAATGTAGATTTTTTAACAAAATTATTCGAGTCAATAACATCGGTATATTTCTTAAAAATATAGACAAAGTCTATAAAATTATAATTTTATATTAGTATAATTATATGAAAAACGTTTCCCATAAGTCATGGGATTATAGTACCTACATATTAAATAAAATAAATTATTATAATTAGGCAAAATATTTTTATGACTCATTAATAATACTTAAGTTTTTGGACGATTTTCTATATATCAAAACATGTTTAACTTTAACTAATGTTATATACTAGTTTCTGCTTACGACTTCGTCTACATTGACTTGTTCATCAGGATAAAAGAGGGCAATGTATTAAAACAGTAGATATATTAACCAACAGGCAGCGACATCTATGCTCCAGGTTTGAAATTAATGCATAACAACAGAAAGGACTTGATTTATCATAAACTGTGTTGAAATCTGGTATAAATTATATTCAATATCTTTTTGTTATGTCTAAGCATCATTACTGTAAAGTTTAATCACAATCTCTTTAGTAGATTATGCGTGAAAGATTAACAAACATACATACACATCCATACATCCTCATAGCGCTTTATACTAGTAAAAGTATGAAAAAATACTTTGTATTTGAAAAAAAAAAATAACAATATGTTATATAATATGTTATATATAAAATAAATAGTACATTTATCATCTAATTTTGAGCTATATATGTTTATTTCAATCCTGTTTTTCATTAAGATTCTCGAGGCGATAAGTATTCCGTATTTTTCCATAATATTCAGCAAGCTTCTTTTTACTACATAGGAAGAGTTTCCCGTTTGACAATCAAACTAATTTAACTAAGATATAAGATCTAAAAACTTCAGATTGTTGACGCTCCCTATGTATTGAGATGACGCGAATTGACGTAGTATATATTTGGATTCATCATCATCATCATCAGCCTATCGGTGTACACTGCTGAGCAAAGGCCTCTTCTCACTTGGAGAAAGGTTTGAGCATTAATCACCATGCTAGCTCAAGGTGGAGTGGCGATTTCAAACTTATAATTTGAAATTTTAAGTCCAGGTTTCCTCATTATGGTTTCCTTCACCGTCTGTCAGTGTCAATATACTCTCAGAAAGTATATATAATTCGGAAAAAATCACATTGTTACTTGCCAGGTTACGAACCCGTTCCCTATGCACGAGAGGCGGGCCTTTAACCTCTAGGCCAACAAGACTTTTTTATTTATTATTAATAAAACTAATTACTTAATTTCAGATCGGAGTTTCATGAAGCCTTGACTATGAAGCCTTTCATCAAACAGGTAAGGAAGTTATTGAATCAAAAGACCGTATCTAAAATATAAATTGATAATTTCGTTTGTGTATCAAAATGTATTGTATTGATTGATATAATATTACAGCTATTATCAACCATGTAACGCGGCTTCGTTTACGGACAGTTACATAGTATTTCCCGTACTATCAGTTTCTTAGTATAAAACTACATATAAACAGTTCGTTTTTGTTAAAAAAATGAAAATAATCTTACCATCATAATAAGTATGACGGCTCTTTAATTTAAAACCGACTTTTCTTCGTACTTTATATTTAAAAATAAAAATTATTTTAATATATAATTCAACTCTAAGTTAGGGAGTTATCTGTCATTTAATTATTTCCTTAAAAATGATTTAAAAAAGTAATTGGTACTTAATACCTATATTTATATTAATTTAATATATCAATTTTCTCTTCAAATTTCCTTCTGATCCCCAAATTTTTTTATCAGACTAACACGCATATATATTTTATATATTGTAAAATAAAATTTCATATAATTTGTAACGCAAAAACTAGGAAGTTTAGTTATCACGATTTATATTAAAAAAAATGTTCTGGTCGTGCACTTGAAACAAAATCAACTTCCTCGTTATATTTTGAATGAAAGGTTATTTTCACGATAACTTTTTTAACATAAGAATAATACGAAATAACTTTAATATAATGTAAAACAAGAGGCTAAGATTACAATACCTAAGGTTTGACAACATGTTTTGAGAATAAATAATAATAATTAATCAAGAATTGTGCAATATAAAATTAACATAAAATACTGATGAAAACATTTTTTGATATTTATATAAATAAAATTCAACTTTACAATTATCATGGCGATAAAAAATATACATTTTGTAAAAAAAAAAATTGTACCGAACTCATTGGTTCCGAATGACCGTTCTTGAACCGTAATTCATTGACAGAAAGTAAAATATGAATTACTCGATCGAAAAAGGCTAGATAATATCGCTTATATATATATTCGTTTTTTCCCGCGACTTCGTCCGTGTTAGTTTTATGATTAAAATTGTATAGCTGAAAAGGCGAACTGTTTCGATTTAGAGGCAGTAAATAAAGAGGTTTTTGATTTTATAAGCATTTCTTTGGGTCGACCGAATTCAAAAGTATCCTATGTCCGTCTCCTGTTTCCAACCTACCCACCAATTTTCATCCATAACCCTACAGCCGTTCTTGAGTTATAAATAGTATAACTAACACGATTTTCTTTTATATATAAGTTATTATATAAATATATTTCAGGCATTCGTAGTATCAGGGGCGGCCTTGAACATAGTTGGCCATGGATGCGCTCACGGCTACCCCGCGGTGTTGTTCTCTCAGATCAAGAGCGACGGGGGTCCAGTCACCCTCACGGATCACGATATGTCATGGATTGGTGAGAAATATACTTTACACATACTATATCCTTATATAGTCTAACTTACCGGCATTATTCTGTTTTACTAAAGATACTTTCTTCGATGGCTGGAATAATTAAATAACTAATTTAATATGTGAAATGAAAATTAGAACCTTGGACTCGTTGGATGTTCAATACAATCGCTTTAACAATTAAACTATCGTGTCCTATTTCAACTTACCGACTTTAAGCCATTCTATACAATTTCAGTTACGCATTAGTTATCATTCCTTTTTATAATCATCATTATAGTTCAAATAAATATTCAGTCTCACTAAAAGTAGCTATGTCCAAAGAAGTTTCTTTGAGTATAAGTTTGCTTTTAATTAAGACGCTTATGAAACCAATTAATGTAAACTTATTCTATTTCAGCATCAGCGGTTGGTGTGATGGGCATATTAGGTAATTTCATATCACCGATCTTGATGACGAGGTACGGCAGACAGAAGGCTCACCTTATGTGTACGGTACCAGCTTTACTTGGCTGGGTGGTTTTCGTCCTAGGCAACTCCGTGCCTTTGTTCCTATTCGCTAGAATCTTACACGGACTCGCCTTAGGTCTTCGAACTCCATTAGCAGCTATACTTGTAGCGGAATACACGGAACCAAGATATAGAGGCGCTTTTCTGGGCACATTCGCTATATCTCTAGGTTTGGGAATTCTTCTTGCGCATGTATGGGGTTCTTATATGTCTTGGAAAATGACGGCTGTAGTATGTTCGGTGTTCCCTATAATAGCTATGGCGATCATAAGTCTATCACCTGAATCGCCTAGTTGGTTTGTTTCTAAGGGAAAATTCGACAAGGCAAAGAAATCTTTTAGGTGGATCCGCGGGGAAGGACCAGAGCAAACAGAAGAATTAGAATCAATGATACGAGCTCAAGAAATAGAAATGGTTAAATCTGATATTCATGATAGGAAAAAGATTAAATTGAACACTCTATTCGGTGGAATCTTTGATTCAATAAAGACAGCCATGAGAGTGTTTAAGAAGAAAGAATTTTACAAGCCGTTGACCATAGCTATATGTATGCTAATAGTATTTGAGTTCGGTGGAGCGCATATGGTGCCGGCCTATGGGAATTTGATCTTGCAATCAGTATTAGATAAAGATGACCCAAAAGACGTTGCTTGGCAGTTCACTGTCATGGACTTCCTAAGGACTATCTGCGCTCTGCTAGCTATATTCCTATTGAAGAACGTTAAACGCAGAACCATTCTATTCACGAGCGGAGTTTTCACTGTATTATCTTTAACCTTAATATCAGTTTTCATATATTTAAGGAAATATGAAGTTCTAACCCACAGTTGGTTATTGGACACTGTTCCTATGATTTTAATGATATTTTACACTGTGTCCTTCTGTTTGGGACTTGTTCCGTTGAATTGGGTGATATGTGGAGAAGTTTTTCCTTTGACGTATAGAAGTCTTGGTTCGACTTTGTCTACGTCTTTCCTTACACCAGCATTCGTGGTATCAATGAAGACAGCTCCTCATTTCTATTCATCTATAGGAGTTGAGGGAGCTTTTCTGGTTTATTCTGGAACTTTGACGGTCTGTTTGTTGATCATGTACGCGATTTTGCCAGAAACAAAGGATAGGACGTTGCAAGATATAGAAGATAGTTTTAAGGGTAGGAAGCAATTGGATGTTGAAGTTCAGCTCAGTTTGATGGGGAGAGATAATACAGTGAAGTAACTATGATATATAATAGTTTTAAATTTTAAGGTATTTTTGTAAATCGGTCTGTGATACGTTTTTGTACCACAATATTTTAAGTAATCTAAGTTTTTATATAGAAATTATTAATGTAATAGATAATATTAATAAATATGACAATGCTGGGAAAATGTAATAAAAAAGAGTGATTTATATACATATATTTGTTATTTTAATTAACTGTATGAATTCTGTGAAAATGTTCAAATGTATGACCAATTCTTCCAATACTTTGATGTAAGTAAATAAAATATCGACGGAAAAAAGCAGGTTAATTTCATATGTTACCAAAACCAAATGTAATGAAATAGTATATTTATAATAAGTGAAATAAAATATGGTTTCATAAAAACATATGAGTTACATTTATTTCTCTATATATAATAGTATTTTAATATAATATCTTTATATATGTATATAATTCTTCTGTGAGTGTGTATGTCACTGAACTTCTCCCAAACGACGGGACCGATTTTGATAAAAATTTTTGTGTGTGTTCAAGGGGATCTGGGAATCATTTAGATTCACAATTTTGTCCGCTGGACAATGTTTTTTAATAAATTTTTAATTTATTAGTAGTTTTTGATACAAACGTTTTTTTTGACATTAGATTTGACAACTAATATGTCAATCATTCTGTCGCACTTCAAAACACGGAGAATTATGGCTTTAATAGGTCAACTCCAAAAATATAAATAAAAAACGTAAGAGATATTTCTTGATTATAGGGCGATACGAAGTTCGCCGGGGCTTCTAGTATACATACAGGGTGACTGGTGAATTACTATCAATATTTAAGGAGCATACTCGGTACATGATTCTCATTCGAATTATGTAAAAAAAATAGGTACTTAATTTTTGACCAAATTTCCGTATAAATAAATAAAGTGTGTACACGTTCCAAGTGTTCCAAGTGTGAACGCGTGCGGAGGCGTGCTGATACAACAACACGCCGCCGCGCGCGTATGTGTGTGTGTACCTAATACCTAATCTGTAGGGTGTTCATACGATGCGTAATTAATTACACAACTTTTGGTTAACTTTACTTAGAAGTTTATTAATATTTATGTTATATTAATTTTTATTTTGTCATATATGATCGTCAAATATCACGTCCTCAAATATTGATAGTAATTCACCAGTCACCCTGTATAAAAATGTACCAAACTAAATGATTTAAAAATTTCATTCAAATTTGCTATCCTATTATTTACCTACATCTGTTAAAGTAGATAACTTATACAAATCTACCGTCAAACAAAAAAAGTGGTGGGGATGCCTCCCAAAGAGTATAAAAGCAAGCCACTTACTTCTAAAGTCCCACTCATAGTCGGATGCGTCACGACAAAACTTAAAAGTGATCTGGGTTAAGTCGTCTTCGACCTAGTAATTATACTCTATTGACATCATTATACACAAACTGATAGATACTTACGCCATTTTAAATATTTTAATATTATTTTAAATTATATAACTTTATCAAGTGAATGATTAAATTTAATTATATTTAAGAATTAAGCATGTACATATTTGGTTTAAATTGGGATTTTAGTTGTCGTTTTATTTGAAAATAAATACGTAAAATACATATCACTACACTTTAAAGCCAGTATTTAATATGTAAGTAAGTTATAGAACATTAACTTCATACTCGAGAAGAATTTGAAGCCGCTTCTTTCAGGATATAGCAATACAGACTCATTTTTACATTTACCATTATGCGAACTTGTTTCTATATTTATCGAAAGTACAGACTATAAATATTTTAATTTTAGTATGTAATACACTCAATATAACTAATTTTATATATAGTTAAATAAATGGTCTATCTATTACTAAAAAACAAAGCTTTTTTCAAGCCTTACTTTCCTATTTGTGTCCTTAAAAGAAAATTAACTCTCATGTGACGACGTTAACAATTACATGACACTAACAACTGCACACTTAAAAATGTAACCGGAGTGCTCGCATTGTGACATCCAAATACATACAGCGCCTTTGAATGTAACTGCTAATTAGGTTTTTTTTTAGAACACAAATTTTCATATAAAAAAACAACGATTTTCAGCCGTTATTTTCAAACAAGAAACATTTTATTAACGATTTTCTTGAACAGGATTTTACATCTTCTATATATATAAAAATGGATTGCTGTTCCTTAGTCTCGCTAAAACTCGAGAACAGCTGAACGGATTTATCTTATCTTAGTCTTGAAATGTTCGTGGAGGTTCAGGGAAGGTATAAAAGCTGAAAAAAATTGATTTATTATTGGGAAAACCATAAAAACAGCCCTTTTCTATTTCCCATACAAACGTTTTTTTTGACATTAGATTTGACAACTAACTAATATGTCAATCATTCTGTCGAACTTCAAAACACGGAGATTTATGGCTTACAGGTAAACTCCAAAAATATAAATAAAAAAACGTAATAGATATTTCTTGATTATAGGGCGATAAGAAGTTCGCCAGGTCTTCTAGTATTAAATAAATCAAATTTTATTTGTCTTAACTAAAATAATTTAAGAACGGAAAAAATATAATCATTATTTTTTATAGTACCAATGTCTGTTTGACATCTGCCTTGCTTGAGAGTGCGTACTTGTGTTCAGGGATTTACAAGCGTTGTTTGTGGTAATTATGTTCGTTAAAATTTCAAAATATATCATTATACGGTGAAGTTTTTTATAAAGAAATTTTTATTAACTGACATAAATATTATTATAAAAACATTTTTGCAACAACTTTAGCTACTTTTCTCTACAAAAGTTTCTGTAAAAATACAGTCAATGCTTAAAATATTGCTATTAGGTACTAACGATAAATGACAAATTTAAATCTAGCAACACAAACAGGTTTAATAAAAAAAATAAAAACATATACAAAAAAATGCATCTATTGATAATTATAATTATTGTAAATTTCGTAAAAAAAAAACATTTTTTTATGTAATAACAACGCCATGAATATGTTTAAGAAATATGTAAACGTGCTCAAGTGGAAAAGAACTCAGAAGAAACAATAATAGGCTCTACCTAGGTATTACAACGATCTCACTAACTGGAATATAAACTAATAATATCTATTTTTAGATCAAGTTATAATTCTCAAATATTGGAGTTAGATTGCTTTGACTTATTAAACAAAAACAATAACGAAAGCTTTTAGTTTTCATAATAGTATTTTTATTATATGTAGATAGAATTATTTGTTAATTTACTATGTATATTTATAAAATAATAAGTATATATTATATTTATATATGTGTCTTTTTCGATGCATGTATATAGACGAGACGAAACCTCTTAGCATTCGATGGATTCACCGTGCGGGTGCCGGGTCCATCGCGGTGTATTTGGCATTTATTGCCGTTAATTAGCAAGCGAAAGTTATATAATGAAGACAGATTGTTAAACATAGTCGTAATAATACTATGTAGATGTATACAGTAGTAGATTTTTCAAATCTTACATCTTTATTTACAACTAACTAGTAGTATGGAGCCTTATCGAAATGGTTTTAGCCGCTTAGAGGATAAACAAAATGTGCACCTACTTTTACATTCAACATACAAAATAACATGTTTCTAAAGGACAATTTAACTATTTTTTTATAAAAAGATACATACATAGAAATATATTTTTAAAATTATTTCATGCATCTGATAGTACGCATGTGCAGAGCGGGAATGATTGCAAAAAAATCAGTTTTTGCCAAAGACATCATTGTTTCGCGCGCTTTCAACCGCAACTGGCAAAAGTTTGCAAATTTGAAAAAAAAAAGTTTTCAAAATTCAAGCAAATGGATATAATAAAACAATTATAATGTTCAAAAATAGATAGGAATAGTTTTAATAAAAGTGAATTAATGTAAAAAGTATTTTTTATTTAATTATTGTTTAATAGTTAATATAGTAATTGGTAAAAAAAAATGGCGGCTGAGAAATTATTATGGCTGACTATGATTTTAATTCGTTTGTGGTTTGGAGCTGGGGATCTCTGTTACGCACAGTAAGTATTAAAAAAAAACATTAAAAAATATGACAACATAATATTAATTATTTTAAATTTAATTAACCTTAAATATGTACTATATAATAATTTTAAATCTTAGATACCTATATTTGCCTGAAAACAAAACAATGCAAATATTTATGAAGTACCCTCTGTATTTTTTCTAGATTACGAAGTATAAGTAGAAATCGATTTAAGCAAATATAATTTGTAATTACCTATAGTATAAGTACCATTATGCCTTTGTCTACATCAAATGGGAGAAGTTATCCTTAATTTTGAGGTATACAACCTTCTTTTAAATATAAAGTTCAATTATATTAAACTTTGAGAGCAATTAGAATCATTTTGTGTTTTATAACATTGCTAAGTATTTCAATGACTCAAAACTTGACTGAATTTACTAATTGGAATGCTTTTTATAACTCTTGACATATTTATACCTTTTCTCTGCTTTAAATTCTATTGGTATTATAATACAATATGTCTATATACATATTATTTTAACTTAGTGAAATTTTCTTGAGAGGTTTTTGTACGAAACTATCTGTACTTGTTTGTTTTATAATTATTTTTAGCAATAAGTTAGAGATGCAAATACTTATGGTCTATTTCTTTACAAATCCGATGACTACTAAGTAGTTATCGGATTACTAAGTAGTTATAGTACATTAAGTAAAGTATTTAGTCGATACAAGTTGAAAATTCAATTGTTAATATGATTAAAACATGTAATAAAAATGATTTAACCAATCTTCGTATATTTCATCGCAAAAAAAAGTTATGTAAAAATAATACCCAAAAAAATCAGTACAGTATCAGTACCCAAAAAAATCTTGTACAGAAATAAATTTATTTTAAGACGGCATTACCGTTAAACTTAAAATAATTATATTGTAGTGGATTTTCATTAATTTTCTCTTATTTTCATACTGTAGAACCAGTTCATTTATATCAAAATTTATAGGTAAATAGCAAAACTACAGTTTTCTATCACAATATAGAATGAAGTCAGGAATATATAGAGAAATACGTATTTAAAAGGCGCGCGTTTAAAACGCACAGGGCACTGTAATATAATGGCGGAAATAGATATAAGCGAAGTGTTTAAACTGAACGAAAAAGTAAAATTGTTAATTTTAATAATAAATTTAATAAGTTTTCATTAAATAAGGGTGCTGTGGGTTTCAACGTTCAATAATACACTTATAAATAAAGGAAGAAGCGCTTAGTTTCGATTTAATTAAGCAAAATTATTGGTTTTAAAATCTAAGATTAAAAAATAAAAAAAATAAATACGGATTGATGGAAAGTTCCAATCAATTATACATATATGTATGTATATATATTGCGTATCTTAAACATTTATATCCGGGATACAAAGTAGATCATACAAAGCTACAAAAGTCCGTATAGTTTATTTGACCTTTGATAAAATTATATTTAATTCTCATTATAAAAATAATCATACATTAAAATGAACATTTCATTCGTATATATTTTTTCGTACATGTATTCTCCCAAAAGCTATCCTTCGCATCCACTTGACACGGATCTCAGTTGAGATATAAATAATAATATATTTTTCATTCATTCATGAATTCAACTTAAAAATATTCAGCATTATGACGTTTTAAATTTCTTCTGCAGTTTTTGAATCTACTATCAAAGAATATATAAAACAAAAATTTGAACATAAATTAGTAGAGAATATGTACATATTATAGTCACAAATTTTGATTTAATCAAATCTTTAGATGTATGAAAAGCGATCCGTTTTAACAAACCGTGAAATCAAAAGACCAAATAATAATTATCAAATCATGTTTTGAGCTTTTGAATAGCTATATGAAGAAGGCAACTATCGAATTATTCTGAATTTGTTGTACTTTTTGGTATAAAAATTTATAAAATAATAACTTGGTATCCTATTAATGAGTAATCTTAACGTAAAAAACAAAAGCTGAACTTTCGGGAAAATAACTCACAGTATATTTTTGGCGAAGACTTATTATTTGAGAAGACACGATCTACTTATACTGAAAGAAAATTACCTTAAGTATTCAGCCAAAAAAATCAAATTTAAAAACATTTTTTTAAGTTTTCGTATAATACCAATATAAAAAGTAAACCAGTAAACAACAAAAAAATTAATGCTAGATCTGATATATAACCCTTTTTATTCTCATTTCCATCTGTATCAAACAAAAAAACAGTATAATTTATTGTGCTCATGTCGTTTAATATTGAATAGTTGCTTGCAAGACAAAAATAATAGTATTGGTAGATATCAAAGGGTTATTCTGGTGGAAAGAAGTGTCCATTCTTTCCAATTATATTCAGAAAATTACATTAAATGACAATATTAAAAATATAACCTTTTTTATAGTGTTTGAGATAATGAAGTGTGGGAAATTTTTATTCATTGTTGGCCTCATTAATTCGTTCAAAGGTCAACGCTGGTGGCCTTCCAAGATCTTCTGCCTGATGACCCTCGTCTTTACGACAAGATGAGACCTCCGAAGAAGGACGACCAGCCTACTATAGTCAACTTCCACGTGACAGTCATGGGGCTGGACTCGATCGACGAAAACTCAATGGTACCTTTATCTGACTACTAAAATAGTCACAAAACCATAAGATAGTAATATACTAGTTAAATATAATGAAATCTGAGATTTTCGCGAGTTTGATTCATTTCAATGAAACCAATATTTTTCGGATATATTACGCGACTTAATTTTTTATAAAAGTTACATATTCCCGACGTTTCGGCTATTTTTCAGCAACCGTGATCACAAGCAGAGGAGACGAGATTTATAGGTGGTAGAGCCTAGCTGTAGTCAGTTACTACAGCTCGAACATGGGCTGGCTCGACCGGGGAAGTACCACCCTCTCACAGAAGATCGGCGTGAAGTAGCCTTTAATGGCTGCGTTTCGTTCGATGAGTGAGAGAGCCGGTTGCCCTTTCCCTATTCTCACCCTTTCCTACCATTTCCTTATTCCCGCCCCTCCCTTTCCCTAAAAAACAAGGTTGGCAACGCATCCGTAACATAGATGTTGCGGATGTCTATGGGCGACGGTAACCACCTTCCATCAAGTGGGCCGTCGGCTCGTTTGCCACCTTTCCCATAAAAAAAAAAATAAAAAAAAAAGATGTTGCTGAAAAGTAGCCGAAACATCGGAAACATGCAGTTTTTTTCAAAAATATATGCGAAAAATATTAGTTTCATTTAAATACATTAGTTAAATTAAAAAGAGTTGTTCCCCAGTTGTCGCTATTCGCTAGATTTGCATTCCCAAACGAAGGGCTTCAAAAGTACTTGTAAAATCTAGGTTGTATGCTTTGAAGTAATTTTGTCAAAAGAACTGTTTGGTATTCAAATATCTCTGACACAAAAAATAAGCACATCTTAATTCAAATGCTATTTACAAGTATATAAGTAAACACTTGCTTTTTATATCTGCTATATAATGTTAGCAATTACTAAATAAAACAACATTAATCCTTTCAAGAGACCGTAGAAACTTTACCAAAAAATAACTATACAAATTAAATATTATAAAATTTTATATAGAAGATTCTCCAAATGTATATAAAAAAGTTTAATTTTTTTAACTTTATACAGATTATTTCTTCATTAAGGAAAAATAAGTCTTACAATTTTATATAGATGTTAGTCATTATATTTATAAAAAATATCATTAAAATCAAATCACAATATATTACATATAACTCATTATATTATAAATATAAGAATTATATATTGTATATTTGCAAAAATTATTATACTCCATGAATTAGTATGAATATTTCATAGGCCTATTTTTTCTCACATACACATTCTAGACTTACGCCGCAGACATATTTTTCGCTCAAACGTGGAAAGATTTCCGGCTCAGGCTACCGGAGAATATGACGACAGAATACAGGTCAGTTGTCTTGTATAACATTAATAGTTACTACTATTCAATACAATAAACTTACTACTATTCAATAGAATAAGTTGATGTCAAATTTTATTGTAGCTTCCGATTTTTCCTTAAAGTACTTCATCTTTTAAATGCTTTGGAAGATTTCTAGTTACTGGTTTTGGTGACGCAGTTTTTATTATCTTTTTTGGACATTTAACATGTAACTATTTTAACGGAGAAAGATAAAGTTATAGCTAATATAATCAGTTTAAATTAATAATAATACTGATGTGAAATGGAATATTTCTATACTACAATAATACGAAAATAACTACTAAGTTTTTAAGATAAACATGTCGGAAACTATTAGGTATATAATATATGTCTTACCCATACTTTTATTTGATTATCTTTAATTTTCTACTATATATTATATTTAAATACAAGTAATATGATTTTTGTTGCAATAATGCCATCACTGCTATCAATAATTCATTAAACATATATATGTGAAATTATATAATATTTAATTATTATGTTTTTATTATATATATATTACATACATTATGTATTCTAACATCGCAGATTACTAGAAGTGGACTGGTTGAAACAGATGTGGCGTCCGGATTCGTTCTTCAAAAACGCTAAGTCTGTGACATTTCAAACTATGACCATACCTAACCACTACGTGTGGCTGTACAAGGATAAAACCATACTTTACATGGTGAAGTTGACTCTGAAGCTGAGCTGTGCCATGAACTTCCTCATCTACCCTCACGACACACAAGAATGCAAGCTGCAAATGGAAAGCTGTGAGTGTAGTTTTAATATTTAATCGCTTTTGCGCTTGCACATAAATAGATTTCTTTAATAATAGTTACTTTTAATTTAATTTTTATGCGATAACAAAACGGTATTTTTGAAGTGAAACTTCTAATGCTACTTTAACAAGGTGGCGTTAAAAGTTCAACGCAAAACGTCCAACGTAATACATAGAAAGAGACGGAATGTGAGTAACTCGGTAGTTCAATTGTGAATTGTAAGCAATATTTATAAAGTTTGTCTTAAAGCAACAATATGAGTTCACTTCCACCTTACGAAGTTTCACTTCTTCCATGCGGATTATTTTGTTTATTTTCATTAATTACAGTAAAATTAACCTTGATGAATGTTTGAATAAAGCCAAATGACGTCACGAATAATAATTAATTAAGAATTACCAAAAAACGTAATTTTCATTCGATACTTACACACGATTTTTGGATTAAAGTAAACTATTTTATGAAAATAATTGTGTAGTTTTTTAGCTTTTTCCCATCATATTTTCTTTACAGAAATTCAAACAGGCCGGTTGTCGCTTCTTAACTAGAAATACAATTTGCCATTAAATGCTCATTCATATCTATTTATATCAAATATATATCAGTTAGATTTGCTTATCTCCTTCATATTGTTAACAAATTGCATTGGTAGTGAACCCTATAGTCATATAGTCGTCGCGTCGTATTTTTTTTTTTATTAATACAAGAGATAATCAGCAAAACATAATAAAATATATTCTAAAATCTTACAATAAACTCTTTCCTAACCCCCTTACACAATCAAGGACGGTAAAGCATCCCCAAGATTCCTCATGTTTCAGGGGTCCCTGAGCGACGGTGACTACCTCCCATGAGGTAGACCGTCTGCTCGGATACCAAATTTGAAATATAGAATAATAAACTCAGTTTTGGCACAAAAATATCACAGATTCGTAAATTTGAGACCAGTTCAAAGATATGAAGCATTTTTTTAATTAAAACCCTAAATATTTAAACAAGACACACAAAATAGATGAGAAATGTCCGAAGATATAAAATTATTATATGTGCTACATAGTTTTCTAGTGCTTCTATCGCATTTTCTACCACAACCACAACCTCCTAAGCCTACAGCTTGGTCTATCTACTTCATTAAGACTAGAAAGTTCATGATTTTGACTGACAGGGTTACAGGAAAGATTTTATTGTGCAATTCTGTACTTAACTAGTGATTTTATTCAAGCCAAAGATAACTGAATCAAACAATTTCGACGTCGAAGTGCACTGAAGTTTAGCAGATCAAACAACATTGTCAATTGTCAAATCTTCGTGATTTTAGATACATAGTAAAAGGAGCATTTTTTTGGACTTAGTCTACGCCATTTATTTAACAATTATAGATTAAAATCTTCTTCATATATATATATAAAGTATGTCCTTATAGCAGAACTTTCCAATCCCAAACTCATTTAATCTTCAAACCTACAAACGCTGTCATAAGTCATAACAATCCTATTTAGATTTATATAACATATCATTATATCATGAAAACTAAAGCAAAATATTTATAAAGTCGTTGAAAAAATAACTTAATTAGGTTTAATTAATTTGTATTATAAATGTAGGTTAAAAACCAGTTGAGAATGTACAATACGAGTGTTTTGCGTGCAATTATGTCTCTTGAAACTTATTACCTCGTCTTCAACGACCACAGCTATACATGTGTATGGTTATGGATTGTTTCGTTTTATTAATTTTATTTACAGTGATGTAGGTCATTTCATCAGAATCATATCTTTACTTTGTTTTCCTTACATGAAGACGAATTAAATTGGTTTAATTTTTGTCAGAGGCCGTCATAAAACAATGACGCAGTCCCATTTTTAGTCAGATTTTTGTTATAATATAAGTCTTTTTATAGTTAGTACAGGCATGATTTGAATTTTATATGGTTTGATATTTTAAACATAGCCTGCATTTTCATCAAAACAGATTTTTTTGACGACCTATATTATTATTTTTATAAAAAAGGTTTGTAAAAGACTCGGTTGGTTTAGGTAAAACTCTTAATTAATTAGACATTCTGAAAAACTTAATATAAAAAAATACATTCATGAATAATATGTCGGGCGCCTTTGATTTTTAAAAGGCAAAAACGTTTGCGGCGTAGGCGTTCGGTTCAGTTAATTCAGGCGTTTTAACTAATGTACAGTTGACTTCGTAATTTACCAACAAATTAATTTTGCTTTAAGTTATGAATAATTTCTTTCGAGAGCTCTTTTAAAGGTAATTATATTTCTGTATGAAAGATATTAAATAAATTTTTAGATTAAATAAATTAGGTATTGTTACTGTCATATTAATCGTCGTCAAAGAATGTTCTCGAAAACTTTGTAAGTATTCGTTATTTACGAACTCATTATAAGGGCACTTGTATTATACTCCTGGTTGTACGTACATGTCGAAAATGGGTTAAGTAACTGTCACCCTAACATTATTAAAGTTGGAATTTTTCATAGTTTACTTGTCAGTTAATTTATTTACTCAATCTATAAAAGTATACGTAGCGTTTAGTATTTTAGTGAGGACTTAGGACTTTATTTTGATATATGTACAATTAAAATTACCTAAACATTGAAACCTTACCTATAACTACAGCATCAATATATTTAACAAAGTACAGTTAAAAATAAGTGACTATTTACAAGTATGAGATAAATCTTATCTAGCTTTTAAGTAGTTTTGTGTCCTGAATAGATCAAAGCAGTACTTTTTTGCACTCCCAACGATTGAAATGTTACAAAGCCTAAGATAGCATGTATGTTACAGTTCTCTTCTTAAAGTACGGGAACCCGATTCAGCACTGAGCCTTTAGGATAGAAACTGATTAACAGATTGGAAAAGCGTAAAGGGGAGTTACTATGCTTTCTTAGTAACATTATGAAAGAGTCTTATAAGAAATTACAAGAATTAATACCTGGAACTACATTCCACAAACGATTATCGCTACAAAACTTTCATACACATCATTCAGATGGTTGGAAGTTCAAAAAATCACCACCATGCGGTTTAAAATCAAGATTTTATAATGTATAGAGAATTCGGAGTTTGAATGGGCAAAGGTTAACACAAAATTTTCACGACATTGGCCAGCGACTTTGTATGCACTTTTGTATTTACTATATATATATGAAAACAGAACAACTGCTTTTAGGCAGAATGTACACTATGTACTTCAGTATATACCGCATGTGACATTCAAATTAATCAATTATGTCTTAATGTCTGTTCTGTTATAAATCAGGTTAATTTGAGGATGAGTGTCGACACAAGTGTCAGCTCAACTCGTCTCGACGGCACTCTCCGACACTGACGTCCAATTTTCAACGCCTTTGAGCCCTTTGAGTTTTATAATGTATTAAAAAACGCTTATATGAACATCTCAAATAGTTATTGAAATCCAGACCTATTAATAGCTCAGAAAATAACTAATCAACATTAGTAACTATGCAAAACTTTGAAATAAAAAAACGAAATTTTCGTTAAAGGATTACTATAGAAAAAAAATTTAGAGAAGATTTAAATCGTTTAGTTAATACATAATGTGCTTGTCTTATGTAAACAAAAAAATATAGGTTGAAATATTATTCCTCTACAACAGATGATAGTATACATATAAAATAAATTTGGTATATATTCGGAATAAAGATTAAATAAATATCATTTTAATGTTTCATTGTCAAGGGCAAGATATTAAATAATATATAATGCATAAAATTTATCTTTTTATTATTAATACTTTTATGATGTACTCAGAAGTGTTTTTTATGAGTTATATGATAAAACTGTCTTTATTATTATTCATTTCATTTCTCAAATGCAATTCGAATTTTAAAGATGATTTTGATTTTTAATTACACTAAACTACACAGCGGTTATTTTGACTTATTAAATTAATTCTCATTCCAGAATTTTTGTATCATAAAGTTCAATGATAGTACTTCGCCTTAAAAAATTTCACCAGAGAAACATTTTGAAATGTAACGGTTTTCTTGGAGACCAATGAATTTATATAAAAAAAATATTGTTATTTTCGATCATTATTTGAAAGTCAGAAATCATAATAGCGTTTCATTTCTCGGAAATCTACATCTTGAATCAATAATATGTACGCACGAGACGAGAATAAAAATAAAAATATTTTCAACAATAGGTGCTCCATCGACAGACATTTTAAAGCTCTTAAGGGTAGGTAAAGTTTGTGGGGCGATACAGAAAAATTGATTTCTCAAGTAGCTCGTAAAATGTAGGCCAAGTGCTCTCACCGCCGCTCAGTGCCTCTGATGTCAGCGAGTTTTTATCGTGATCATCGTGAAGGACACGATTGAGTCTCGCGTTTAAAGTGCCCAGGTCCATAAATAGGTAAGGCGCTCTTCACAGCTATTCCGAGGGACCTTGTTTGGGGACCACGCTCGTTAGTTGTTTTCATTTCATCTTGTCCCAAGAATTATGTTTATATTTGGCAACCATTCGTTAGAGTATGGCTTGTAAATTTTGTGATACTTTTGAAACAGCTTGTATCTTATCTCCTATTATCGTGTATGTTATCTTCTTTGCATATACAAGTGTTGCACCAAAGGCGATCTTGACGATAAAATGCATTTATTTATCTATTACTATCTTAGACACTTAATGTAAATGGTATAGAGTTATGTATAAGGCTTTGCAAATATGAAATAAAGACGAATTTTGAAAAGGTGGCAGTAGCAAAGCCAAATAAAAGCCCAAGAGTTCTTTTATTAAAACTATTAAACCAATTCCAGTGTCTCACACGACAGATGACCTGATCTTCCAGTGGGATCCTGAAGTTCCATTGGTGGTTGACGAGAACATTGAACTTCCACAATTGGAGCTGGTCCAGAATAGAACAGCTGACTGCACTCAGGTTTATTCTACTGGTAGGTTCAATTATAGCATCTGGATATCTTAGTTTTTGTCAGGTTTTAAACTACAGTTAGCCGATATAAAATATTAAGTCATTTTATTACTGGAAAGCTACTATTAAATTTATTTGGAGAAGATGCAAAATTATTTACAATCAGATTATTCCATTTACAGTACAAACGTTGGCTATAACTTCCACTAGTGTGATTATTTTTTGTAACAATATTTGGGCTCAATTCTTTACTCTCGTGCTATTATCTAGCTAATATCCAAAGACATTTCAAAAGGATTGTCTAACCATGTCACGGATAAGCTAAGTCCAATAAAAGGCTATTTAGCTTTATTACCTTGATCTCAAACGCAAGGTACCAAGAGATAAAATTTCTTTATAATGTCCACACTGGGATTATCGTGATCTTTACCTGGGATTTACTTAATCTCAAAATTTACGTCAAAATTTGTAGTTGACTAAAGATTAATGAGTTCGATCTTGACATCAATTTGATTCAAATTCTATACTATATATGTATATAATTTATTCTTTTAAGGTAATTTCACATGTTTGGAGGTCATCTTTAAACTGAAGCGTCGTCTTGGGTACCACTTGTTCAACACGTACATACCCACCTGCCTTATTGTTATTATGTCGGTAAGTTGAGAAAATGACAAAAAAAAATATGTGCCACGTTTTCTGGTAATAGTCGTACATTACGATTAAGGGTTTTTATAGAGTCCGTTAATAGAAAATAGCATGAGACGAACTTCTCAACATTCGATGAGTTTACCGTGCGGGTTTTGGTTCCATCGTTTTCCTTTAAAACTACAAAAAGGTGGAGATTTCTTTATTTGTATATTATCTAAGTAATATATTTCCAACTTAATTATTTCTTAACCATTTTAGAAAAATTGTAATATTTGTATTATATACTTAAAAGAGTCAAAATTTTCAAAAAAAGGGGTTAAGGTGTAATTGCACTATATTACATTCAGGGATGTACCAAACAAAGGAACAAGCAACAATTTGTTGAAAATTTTTATTTAACCAATTGCAACGAACGAACCACATTTTATTTTATGCGATTTTTTTTTAATTTGAAGTAATGTTATATTTATAAATATTATTAACATTTTTTCTAATTAGAAATTTTGGCCATTATATTATTTGATAAGTAGTATTGAATTTAATCCAATTAATTTAAATTCAATATCCGTCTTGTGCAAGCGTGGTGATTAATGCTCTAACCTTCTCCATGTGAGAAGAAGCCTTGGCTTCGCAGTGGGCTCTGATAGGCTGATGATGATGATGATGATTGAATTTTAAGATTATTCCATTATTATATGAAATTAACCTCTGATATTTATTTAAAAAAAAGTAAAACTAAATACAGGTGACGCCCTATAAATATATAATACATACGACAGAAAGAAAATAATCGAACAAAACTATGAATGTTTCTATTCATATTGAATAATGTTTGAAAATAATATGACTATTTCAGTTAATGTTGTGGTTTTGTCATGACATACAATTATTGTGGATATTGGAATGAATGTACGTCGATTGACCGCACTATTGTTAATACATGATACTGTCCTACATCAAAAACAGATGTAATCTGAATGAAAGAAACTTAATTCAATTATTAATTTTATTTTTTCTTTTATACTCATATTTTTAAAGAAATTGACGAAACTATAGTGAATAGTCCTGTTAATGTTTGTGATATCATTGTACAATACTCAATTCGTCGTTTGAAATTTCTCTAGAGATTTTAACAGGGTTAAATAGTTAAATAATAATTTAAATTAAAAATCTGTCCAGATTAATGATAAATTGTAAAGTACATTAATACGATTTAAATATATATTAATGGTATATCTTCGCTTAACACTTATAATCGTTCATTCCAAGTGGGTATCATTCTGGATCAAGCCTGACGCAGCGCCAGCTCGTGTGACGCTGGGTGTGACGTCACTCCTCACTCTCTCAACCCAGCACGCCAAGTCTCAAGCACAGCTCCCTCCCGTCTCCTATCTTAAAGCTGTGGACGCCTTTATGTCGGTATGCACTGTGTGAGTATACTTGATAGTTATTGTGAAATGCTCTTAAGTCTTACTTATAGCTTTAGAACCTTTTGAATCTTCACTAACAATACCAGTGAAGAAATACCTGAAACTAAAGTTCCTCAACAGTTAAGTTTAAGGGCGCCATTTTGTTTTCTTGCATATCAAATACAAATGTAAAGTCTATGGTTTATAAAACTGCTGTCATTTTGGAAATAGGCGAACGATTTAATAATTTTTCTGCCAATTATAAAATAATAATAATAAAAAAATGCTTTTAAAACTTATATTATATATCTTAAAATTAAAAACAAAAGATTCACGATATTAGTAACAAAAAGTGTAATAGTAAGTGATGGCAACAGTTTGCCTGTGATTATGTTTCCTTAGCTATACTTTGGGTGTTCTCGAGAAAAGGTTGCATAGACATAGTGCCAATGCCATAGTGCGTTTACTAACTACGACTTTATTATCAACTTCCAACAAATGAAATGACAATTAAGCGTTCTTCAGTCAAAGTTACAAAAAAGAATAAATTATTACCAGATTCAAAATAAGTTACAGCCTGCTTCCATAGCTTTCAAGCACCTAACCAAGTCCAATTCGATTAATTACATGGAGTACACCGCTCCTCATAATTGCTATTGGATAAATATTAAATGTGAACAGATTTTGATAGAATACTGAGCACGTAACGTCCAAAATCACATACATACATACATACACATAGTGTTTCTTAACTTTATATTCTCCAAACGTAAAGGAAATTGCCGAAGGACGTATGGATGACAGGAAACTTAATATATTATGCAGAATACCTTTAATATACTGGGAAAACTTGCAGCATTTAATAGAAATCTCAATATGAAGATGTATCACCAACAATTTCACGACAACTTTATACCGTTCTTTCAAAATTTAACACCGGAGACCAATGTGATTATGGGCTGTAATATGATGCTTCAAAATGACCATACACAAAGCACCTTAAAGATATCCACGTAATAATAAACCTTAACACTAAACTTTCTATCGCGATAGAGACTAGAATTAATAATTAATTAATAACCGAATATAATTACGCTAACTAAAAAGATTATAAAAAAAAATTATTAAACCATTAATATTTCTGTGTAGTACTAAAGAATAATATTCCTTTAATATCAGTAAAAAGCTTAAGGAAAAAATACAATATTAATTAGTGTATAATCAATATTATTTCTTAATTTAAACAATGAATTGCTATTGTATTTGTTTATCCCGAGATGGCGCTAGTAATTATTGAGATAACGGCACATTCCAAGCTTCTGGATTTCATTTTACCTTATCTCCTAAATAAAAAGAATTTCTTCCATTCATAAATTCAACTGACTTTTTGTGTATTGACGATTGTCTAGCGGTTTTCATTAACGTCTCGGGTTCGATCTCCGGTTGCAAGAAATGTGTTTATGATGTTCTACGTCCGGTTCTGAACGGTGAAAGAAAATATCGTATGGAGGTTTCATATTATAATATGTATGTGTAAATGTAAAAATGTTTAAGTCATGTAAATCTTTAAGGAAGACTTATAGAAGTTAAGACATATGTCATTACTTCTTAAAGCAGTTGTAAGCTAATTGAAGACTAATCTTAAAATTTTTCCACGCCGTCCTACATTTATATTTAGTGAAAGAAATCATATTTCCATAATAATGCTATCTTACGTTCACATTCGTATTACAAAAAAATGATTATAATAATGTTTTGATAAAGAAACAAATTAAAATGTTTTTGTGGGTGTACGTAATTGCGTGTAATGGTAAAATTAAGTGCTCATATTTTTTTCTATAACAATTATTTTCAGTTTCGTCTTCATGGCGCTGATGGAGTACTGCCTCGTCAACATCATCCTTGATGATAGAGGCGGTAAACCTAAGGTTAGATAATCATAACCTAGATTTAATCACAATAATAAAACACTATAGTTTTAAATATATTTTCCTTCATATCATAACTTCGGTTGCAACTATTGATATTGAGAACACTTTATTTCATTGTTTTATTATTTTCCTTATCAAATATGTATTCAGTATTCAAAGCTATATACCTTCTTTTAATGCTCTGATTCTATTTAACAGAATGCTCTCATATAACGAGTAGAGTAATTAACACTTACATTTCAGAGTTTCCATTGTCAAATCAGTTTTGATGCAAATATATCGGCGATTTATTGATGGTATACGCTGAAGTTCTTTCTGACACTCTTAGTAAGTTTTCTGAAACAAATAATCAGATTTTCAAGTAACCTGATTAATTAGCAAGTGAAAGTGTGCCGCGAGGTTGTAAACGAATTATTTCTTGATAACAGGGACTGATAACTGTTTAAAATTTAAATGACGGTAATATTTTCATTAATAAATAATAAATAAAGTAATAGATATATCTTATTTCTTTTCTAAGTCAGTAATAGTACAGGAAACAATAAAGTATTCATCAATTTTTTTGTACTAAAATAGAAAGTAAATTTATCTAAATTAAATTCGTGTTTGTTAGTAATTTATTCAAATTTTAATTGCTCATATTTTCGTGTTTATAAAGAAATAAAAGATTGATCTTAGTTACCTTATCTTATCTAATGTAGAGGTGATTCATTCAAAAACAATGTAGGCGACTTAAAATAAACACATGTCACAATCATTATTTTATATGTAATCATTGTTTATATATATTTATACAAATATCGTATTTTAGTTGAGTTCCACTCTTTACTAATAGTCCAATTATAAAATAATAAGGACCAAGTATATACTTACGCCATCTATATGAGCATAGCAAAGGATCGCAACATTTTCATAGAGAAAATAAGTAAGTTCCCTAAGACTTACAATTCCATAATCCTGAAAGAAAGAGTAAATAAGTTTTTATTAAGATGATGCGGTTGCCATCTAAATTCTAAACCCACATCTTTTTACCATCAGTAGGGATAAGAGACAAGCAATAGATAACTTAAATAAAGAAAATCTGTCTTAGAAAGATGTACTGAAAGAAGCTCAATGATTTTTTACAATCATTAAGATATATTCGGGACTTTTTAGTGTTATCATGAAGGGTTATTTAATAATGGTTTATTTTTATTAATTCAATATCTTTGTATTTCTAAAATATATCGCCAATGTCAATTATGTTAAATTCTTTATTGTGTCATAAATTAGGATTTTATTTTATGTTCTTGTAAGTTGTAATCTATTTTTATCTACATGTTAATATCTCTCTTTAAGTCGTAACTGCTCCTTAATTTGTCGAGTACACTCGTAAATTTAAATATTCCCTAGATATGTTTTCGTTTAATTCTTCTATAGTATTTTAGTGATACATAAGTATATACACTAATCATAATTGCAAGAAATTTAAATACTCATACTCATACTTTATTAAAAATAACAAGTATAAATTATGTATATTTCATTTATAGATATTAGATATATATATTCACAATTTAATATCTCATAAGTCATTGAAATTAAAAACTACGCACGGATTTAAATTTCAAATAACCGTTATGCGTTTTTTTAGTGTTGCTAGACTTAAAAAACTGCACTTTAGTCTAAAAAATGTTTCTTTATAATAATAAATTAAGTATTTATCACGAGGCAAGTATGGAGACGAGCTGATGTATATTTCTGGTGTCCAGGAACCAGCAGAGGCCGCTAAGGCGCGAATGAGAGCGGTCAGCATCGACCGATTTTCAAGAGTATTCTTCCCACTTCTGTTCGCAGTGTTAAATGCAACATATTGGATACAATTCGCGCAATACATCTGATTTATATAATATATATATGATATGACGTCATATTTTTTTGTTACAAAGCTGTTAATCGGAAGAGATATTTTGTTGATCATAGTGTACTTTTAAGTTTATATTTATTGTACAATACGGTAGGTGATTGTTAATTGTTAACACACTGTTATTTTGTAGATATTTAATAGTATGCATTTAATTAAACTATATTGACAGATTCAACTCATTATGAAAGAATTCTTCTCTTCAATACAGTTTCTTTAAAAATATCTTTAGAGTTAAAAATAAAATGATAGCTTAGCAAATATAAACAAGGTCGATCTGAAAATATTGTTCTACTTTAACTGTTTTAAGAATCCATTAAAATGACAGATATCCAAAAGTTATCTTAGTATATAGTAAAGATAATTTATTTTTCATATAATTTACTCTAAATTTTGCACAAATAGATGTTTTTGTAATGACCACAATAGTTCATTGTATACCTGGAATATTTTTTGCCTCATACCTATCACAATTTCGTCAAGGTCGTTGCAGGCTGTAATAATAGCTGAAGGTACAAAACGAAATTATTATTTAAATAAAGTCGGATTAGGATTTATTTTTATAGAGACAATGTATCATACAATTGCTTTGTTCTTTAAGACAACAACTATCATGTATAGAAAAAAAATATATATTTTCTTCGGTATAAAAGAGATGTTAAAAAAGATAGGTATGTTTTATAATTGAAACCATAGTAGACACGAAACACTTATTTCACATATGAAGATTACATTCCCAAAAACATAGCAGAAATAATAAGAACAAAATTTAATTAAGCTCGCTATTACGTACAGAAAACATTGGACTATAATTTTTAAAATTATATATAGATTAACCCATCTATAAAAACTTTTATTAACCCGCTAACAATATGTATACTTTATATATTAATTCATGGCCATTTTTATTTCCTATACTCACAATACTGTTTAAATTACGAAATCATTTTAACTATTAAAACAATTTGCAATAAAGGTTAGCTCGTGTTATCTGATACTTAAATCGCAATACATATTTTAGTGGGTTTAATTGAAAGTAGAATATAATAGAGTGATACCAGTGAATTAGTAGACAATTAAAATTATATGACTCACTAAATAAGTCTTGGTATATAAAAGAAATACATTGCTCAAATATTTTAATGTTTCTTTCTCATGACATTTGAAACTTATTGATTTTAATATACAAAAATAAACTATGTTTATTAATTAATAATTCAAGTAAGCATTATTTTTGTTCAGTAAAAGTAATTGTTATATGAAATAACTTGTTATTAGATTAGAAAAATTTCAGCAAATAATTTTAAATCGTAGATAAGTATATGTATGATTTATTTTATTTGGTCCACTTGTGTTGTTTTCGCAATCAAATTAATTTATTATACAGTTGATAATTACATCTTCGTTATGTTAAAATTTGTTTTATTTATCAAATTCTCCCAGTTTGATAATTTTTGTTTTATCAGGTCTTGAACATTGAAAAGCAAAGAGGTATACTTCAAACTCTTTGAATAAGTTATATCAATTGATAAACTCATTACTATAGCATTTTATACATTAATACCAAATATGTAATTTTTGAATGCCTTGATGTCGTCTTTGGAATACAGCTTGCATAAAAATTAAGCTAAATCATTGAATGTACCATCTTTATAGAAGGCTAAAAGGTCAACGTGCTATAACTAGTATTAATCTAGCATATTTTATGCTCTAAAGCGTAAAGATTGGTAGCAAAGTAACTCAAGAGAAAGTAAGAAAATCCCATTACTATTATTTTGTTCTTAAATTTTTATACATATATATTTGTAAATAATCATAATGTGTGCTATATAATTAATAAACGCATAATATGCAGTTATCTCTAATATTCTCCAAACATTACATTTATGCAATTGTAAAATGTTACCTTTCATATTGGTAATAAGGCCTTCAACTAAATTTAGGTTTTAACAAACAGACATAATAGATTGTTTTTGTTTGTGACTACTTAACCCCTTGCTGCATGAATTATGAAAGAGATGAAATAAATTTTTTTTTTGGCAAAAATGTGTTTATTGTAGCTTAATTAGTGAGATCAAATCAACAAAAAAAAATATAAGCTTATAATTCAAAAGTTAGTAATCAACGCCATATGTGGCTTCGTATGCATTCTAGCCATATACGCTTCGGTCAAATATGGCTTCGTATGCATTTACGTGTAAAGTATTTTATTCCTCGTGAAATTCTTTGTAACAGTTGCGTTTGTCATTATAGCACAAATAAACATTACATTTTTCACATAATGTAAAAGAACGAAATTTAGAACAATTTTGGTATATTTGTCGGGCATTCTTCTTCCAAATCAGAAAATGGCTAATCCCATCGGTACGCACGGACGCCAAAGGCAAGTCTTGATGCCTAGCTGGCGTTTTTCGTGTCTTTTTTGCGGGAACTGGAGATTCAGGAATACGGGAGGGAGTGCCACCCCGGCTTGGATGTCGGAGTTCCAACAATGCTCGATGGACGACCACGTTTCTTGGTCATAACTGCTTTTCCTGCTTTACGCAAATGTTCGGAAACGGCCAGTTTGAAATCATAAAGTGGCATGTATGAGTCAGCATTGATTCGGCGCCTTAACAACCAAGCATTGACAAGTGTCATGTCCACCATGTGAAAAAAAATCCTCTTGTACCATTGACGAGACCGCAAATGGATTCTATAATAACCCAGCATAGAATCTAGTAAATCCACTCCTCCCATATGCTGGTTATAAACATCTACAGCTTGGGGTGAAGGTATGTAAACATATTCTTTATCTTGGCGAACGTAACGCCGCTTTGTTGTTGTGGGTTCACTTCCAACGTAGGCTGAAAGAAAAAAAAAGAAGAAAAATCTGATTCTGACTCCGGTATAATGATATGTCGTTTAGGAGTTAAACTAATGGAGCCAATATTACAATTATCGTCACAATCCGAATCAACATCATCGTCACTAATGTCACCATCACCTGGAATGATGTTTACATGCTTTGCAGTGCCATAAAAGCGTGCTGGGTCCATTTCTAGAACAAAAAAGAAAGAAGCCTTAAATGCATACCAAGCCAAATATGACAGTACCACTTTTGACCATAATGCATACGAAGCCAAATATGGCAATTTTGAAAAAGTAGATAATTACGTCGAAATATGCAAAACAAAGCAAAAATCAAACATTCACCGTTTATAAGAAAGATAAAAGAATACTGTGGTATTTTTTTCAACCGTTTACTCACCTTTTTGATATGTTTTTTTTTAAATTAAAAATTACACTTTTTTCGCTGCACCTGCTCCGCCGCACGCGCTCAACATAACTTTAAAAATATTTGACAGCTGACATTTGACATGAATGAGTTAATTACATTCCGATTCACCATGAAATTCCGGATCTGTTGTTGGTTAAATTTTAAAAATCGGACATACCAGTAGCTTGTAAAAAAAATGTGAACTTGGTCATCCATATATGGTTTCGTATGCGGTAAGGGGTTAAATTTTATTTACTTTCTAAATAATAAACAGCGTTAAGAACGTCTGATCAAGCTTAAGACTTAAATCTCATTTCTCATATACCTAAGTTATATTTAAATCAATATTTAAGTTAAAAAAGTTCTTTAAAAACCTTAATCTTTTGTGTACTTATACTCAAATACAAACCATAACAATAACCTTTTCAATCTTATCGCACTTATCTTCAAGTGCTACCGTATTTGATAAAATAAGGAAACACTTACAAGACATGTGGCATACTTGAATATATTGGACAAAATACTGTCCCTACTCCTTCTTCTTCTGCCTTGCTATTTCCCAGCTTTAGCCAGGGTCTGCCTTACATGTCGTGAATATAATGAGATCTAAGATTTTCGCGAGTACTCATTTAAATGAAACTAATATTTTCGGATTTTACTTCGCGGTTTATTTTTGATTAGAAACTACATACTCCCGACGTTTCGGTTACTTTGCAGCAACCGTGATTACGGGCAGACAACATCTCGTCTGCCCGTGAAGTAAAATCGGAAAATATTAGTTTCATTTAAATGTCGTGAATAGTTCTGGCTAATTGTTTTTACGACCGGCCGCCTGCCTGACATCAACCGTCTTTGGAAATAAACATACTTACCTACATAACTTGCAAATTTACTACAGAAGTAAATATCCTAACATATTTTAGAAGAGAACTTAGTATGGTGAAAGGCGTTGTTTTTGTGCATGGATTGGATATTTGAACGCAAACAAGAATACCGCAACAAACAACGTTATAAAAACGAATTCGCAGAGCTTGTGCCGAATACAACTTCTATTACCTTGTCTAGAAGTTAAGACGGACAAAAAAGTACCAAGAATACAGATAAGTAGACAAAAAACAGATAAGGAATGCCCAAAAGACTTATATTTTCATATAACTTTGGCAAAAATAAGTAAAAAGAACATAATTATGTCTGTCAATACTTAATACTAAGACATATAACAATGGCCACATACATAATATATTGGAAGATAAAATTTACACTCTACGTCGTGCATCGAAGTTAAATACGACAATATTGACACAGGAATGTTAAATGGGTCGCGATTGCATACAATATCAAAAATAAATTAAGTTATTGACATTTGATATCTAAAATTGAAGTAACTTTTTGAATAGCTTCAAAAATACCAATGATTTATTTTCCCAAAACGAGAGTAAACTGAGCAAGTATGTACTATTTCTTAAGTCTCTATTTTACCTTAGAACGTGACGTAAAACTACAGGCAAAGTCCTTCGTTAGAACACTTTGTTAGCAGTTTGAACTTTATATAGCTTCCTATATTTTTTATTAGACATATGAAAAAAATAGATTATTATTACAGAGGTCATGTATACACAAAAAGAGTCAAATCGAATTAAAATTATCAAAGAAAGCTGATGCAATGAGGTATATTAACAATAGTTATATTCGTTCCACTTGTAAGAATGCTTGAACGG